CCTCACGGAATACCGGTAGCACCTGGCTGGACCATTTCCGGGTTGTACGGTACGGTTGTGATATTAGACTTACTATCATGGTCGAAACCTTGTGGAAGTCCCACGATCTCTTGTGCATCCGAGCAGGAACCCCCCCCCGCCCCCTTCCCCATTCAGATGTAATTTTCTTTGGAAAAGAAAAAGGAAATAATAGTATCATATACTTGTAAAAGGCAAATATTAGGTCGTCCCAGATAGCGCCTGATATTATCTTTCTCGTTGTTTTTCACCTTGGATTACGAGGTTTGAGTGTCATATCCTGAGCCTTATATCGTGTTATCCGATTTAGCATGCCCAAGTCTGCCTGCTGGATTAGCTGAGGGTATGGCATGGTACTCGCTGTAGCTCATAATGAGGGTCGAACAACGCTGGTCGGGTAATAAGCTATAATATCATACGATACCCGCTCCACCACAATTTTTTTTTCGCGGCAATCATTAACGATCACTCGAGGGCAGATTTGAAATTGTGATATGATAGGACTTTTGGACACTTTTAAGGTGGGGTGAAGAAAGACGCAGAGCGGTTATCGCGATGTGCCCCATGCGGTTCTTGATCTTAGGAGAGCTTGTGCACGTGTACCATGTGAGTAGATGCGTTGAAGTCCCAGCTAGATTCTGTTGGCTATACGCCAGGAAAACTTATGAAGGTGTGAAAATCTTATAATTGTGCGCACGGCAATAGGTGAAATCACCAAATCGTATCCGTACCATAATAGAGGTTTTGGGTGTTATGGGATGGAAGTGGCGCCATGCATGGGATGGATGCGCAGAGCAGCGTTGGAATACCCCCAACGATGTACCCGAGTAAATTGGAGAAGGGGACAATCACTGCTGGATTTCCCAACGAGCCACTTCTCGGGCTCCGCGCAGGTACTTACTCAGTATTAGCAACTCTCAGAATGTCGGCGGGCATTCTCGTCGCGATAGGAGTACGGTGCAAAGGCACCTTTGTCAATTATTTACCCAGTGAAAACCCCCGTTTAGGTACAGTGCTAGATGTGCCGCTAATCGGGAGGGTTAGTGTCACGTCCCCGGTTAATGCGCTAAGAGGGATCGAGACAACCCACCTGCCGAGACGTCTTTCGATTATTGGGTCTACTCTCGGGGAATTGCGAATATTATAATGAGTCAAATCCCACTAATAATGAGGGATATCGTATCGTGTTTGACCCAGGACTCCCAGGCGTCTAGCTCGTCCGAGGCGGAGTGAGGATGAAAGTCGACTGCACACTGCAAGAATCGGCCAATGCGCCAAGTGAGATATAAGTCAGTACCTCTTTGTATGATATGGGAATTCCCAGCTTAGGTGCCCATTTAGCAAAACAATTTTTTTAAACAACTGCGCTGTCCAAGTGTAAGTGTGATAACGTAGCCAAACATCCACAATGATGAGCCATATATATGAAAAAAAGCCCAGCCCACAATTGCTTTTCCTATATTTTACTTGTAGAAACGTGCTCTTTCGGTTTGATGTTTTGTGGGATTATAGAAACAGAACGAGGGATTGGACTACCATTCGAGTAGGTAGCCCCAGTCTCGTCCGTTCGGCTGTCGTCGACTGTGGACGGCCGGCCTTGACATCGTCCAATCTAAGGTAAAGGCAATTAGATGAACTGGTTTAGACATTCGTTATCATACTGAGCCAAAGTGACAGCCTCAGTTTGTTCATTGAGCCGGGGGGGTTTATATTCCACGCTCTTATAGATTGCGAATTTTGTGGTAATGCGCGCTAGAAGAAGTATGACTCCACCGGTACAATACACCATTCAATTCTGAGGTAGCCAGTCATGATAACACCGTTTGCACCTCGCAATTCCATGCCTAGTATTTGAAAGGAGAGTCCTGGCACGACCCAATATCTTCCCCGGTTTGTGTTTGTGTGGGCCGGGTCGGCTTATGGTCTCCCCTCGGGGTATATAAGCTCAAGACTCGCGATCTTGGTTTGGTTGCAAGTTGGGTAAGTTTGTGCTCTGTGGTATTTGCTATCCAATGGCACCTGGAGAGTTTCGAGTTTTTCTTGTATGGCATCCCGTGGGCTACGCGGTGCGGGTGAGTGTTCGCAGCACCTCTAACTCATAGTTTTTGCCGTTTGAACTATTTCATATCGACACTGGGTGACGTGTCTCTCGGCCCGGTTCTGGGTTTGAGAACTGGAGCTTTTGTGGGTTAGGTAGAGGTTTGATTTTTCTTGAATCGGGATTGAAGCTGTTTTTCGTGGTGAGAATTCAATGGCATGTATTGTGAAAGCGAGTGATTTTATTCCCATTAGAAATTGCTGGATGACCAAAGACCTGATGATTTTTTCCCTATTTTTTTTTTTTCGGAACATGGTAATCTGTGAACCTGCCGCCTCGTAACTCATTGACCCTCCAACGAAATGATGGAATTTCTCCCTAATGTACTCGAGTATGAGTAAATAAATAAATAGCTACTGTATACATTATATTTCAGGCAGGTATAACGGTTGCCGTGCAAGATGGAATAACTAGTTTTTTTGAATTTCGGGATTCATACTGAATATAGTATCTCACATTGGGAATGAAAGGCGGGAAAAAAAGTGCCAAGAAAAGCGTAGCACAAGTTAACCAAGAGGCCATTTCATTGATCAAGTCTCTGAGCATAGGACACTTCATAGGATCTGGAGATGTGGTGTCTATTTGGAGTTAGAGTGGTTATAAATTCACACCTTGTGGGGCGCGAATTGCCTGGCAGATAGCACTTGTCCAAGGCCTAGGAACAAGCCTAGCCAGGTGGCGGGCTAAAGCTGTGGAAGGAACTGGTCAAATTCCGGTTTCGTTGGCACAACACGACACTTAATTTACATAGGTACCCTAAGCGTAGTGTTAGGGGAGTCAGGACGGTGTTGAATAGATGTCGGCAATTCGAGAGAACGGGGATGGAGAGGAACTAGTGGAGGAGGTAGCGGTGATAGCGAGGGAAGCTATGCAGAATTCTGGAAGGAGCAGGCATCATCCGAGTTGAGAATTAGGATCCCGGAGATGCAGTTTGGCACTTGGGCTGAATAAGGTCAAGCAAACAGAAAAAATTAAAAAAAAAAAATCCTTGTTGAGAACCCTGCTGATCGCGGAGGGGGTAGTGGTAAATCGATGGGTACGATTCAGGTCGCGTTTTTCTCGAGCCTGGCACTGCTCTTTCCTATGAGCCCTCCGCCCTCCGCCCGACACCAATGGCCTACCTCGACTCTATCCGGTTCGTTCCGAATGTTGCAACAACAGAGGGGTGGGATAGCTTGACCGTGGGTGAGGTAGAAGCAAGAGGGGTTCATTGAGGGGGTGATGACAGCATATGCACTGACTGGGGTTGGAAGACCGGTATAATTACTTGCTGCGCCAAGAGAGCTGATGAGCCCCTTCCTCATCTCTTGCATAAGTGCTTGTGTCGGTGCGGTACTGTACTTGCCAAAGCAGAAAGTCTCGACCTCTATCTGGGACAATCAAGGACTACACCACAACTTACTCGAAAGAATTATACTTACTTCTTCTCATTACCTCCCATCACTTCTGGGGATAGTGGTTTTTGGGGAGATTTGGTTTATGAGTGATGTCTATCGGGAGGACTCTCCTGTTTTAAGCTTGCCAGACCAGAGTGATTGCTGCATTGCCACTGGCGGCCGTAACCCGGGCTCTGTGCGTTGACCAGTACCGGTATGCTGTCCCAAGTTGTCGCTAAACAAAATTGACAGATTCTCGCGAGCCATGGTCCCTCTCCGATTCTCACAACGTGTATAATTATCTCCTACGGGACCCAAACCCATTGGACATATAGGCCTCAGCCAACGCTGGTATTCACCTAATTCTCATTCCGGTGGAATACCCGGCGAACACGTATTCAGTCTTTAGAAAAACCCTAGCCCTGACATCAGTCCCGGCAAAATTATTACTATGCATGCAAGGCATCGAATAACGTTCCGAGGGAGTATTGTTGGGATGTTTGGGGATCCTATTCGCCGATACTCTATGCGAGAAGTTATATATTACTCGAGAAATACGGTGAGTTACCGTGTTATGTCGTATTGTATCGTATCGTATCGTGCCCTCCGTAAAACTCGTCTTTCGAACGCGAGCAGTTACGAGTGAGAGCGGGTGTCTCGGGTTTCGATCCCGAATTGGGTATCCGGTCAGCCTCGGAAGCTCTGCGTTATGTGCCGGTATGTACCGGCATGCGGTTGTTACCCGGCTTTGGCCATGGTTCCGCCTTTCCCAAAACAATGGTGATGTTCTTCTGGATGGTTATGGCAAACTGCGGAAACCTGCTGTATCAATCGCCCCCTCGAGCCAAATAAAGGCATGGGACGGGGCTGAATTTAAGTAGGCTGCGCTTTCCTTCAGGGACTAGGAGCTCTCTGCTCGTCGTATGGAGTCGGCTCAGGCACTTTTGTTCTTAGAATGGTGAATCCTGGGGGGACGTTGTTTACCGCCATTTGCACATTTTGGGGAACAATTGTTTTATTCAATTCCCCTCGATTCATCGTCGAGGCTTTCTATTGAGTCTACGGGTATCTCCATTCTGCCCGTTTGGCTCCAAGCGCGCTCGAGTTTCCCAAAGCTCCAAATGAACCGCTAGTAACCGGAATAAGAAAGGGCCGTAGAGGTACTCGAGTAAAGTACGAAAGGGGTGAAGTAACGTCTCGGGAAGGAAAGGACGGGACAGGGAAGGGAGGTGATAGTGAGGGAACTTTGCGAAGAGGAGGTGTGAGGTTATACAATCCAAGCGCAGAGCCTCATTAAACGCAACCACCAACACCCACACCGCCAACCACTTACCATCACCACCACCGCCAGTAGGAGCACCCGGGGGTCCTACGTTCTTGTGCGCGTGAGATTACGGTGAACCGGGTCGCTCTCTTGTTCTTCTACGCCTGCCACAGACGCTTTATGGTTGACTTGCGAGTCCGACATAGACACACCGCTAGAGCTTACATCTCCTCCTCCCATAAGCATGGAATCCCCCGAATCGTGCCTGACTAACGTCTTTAAGATCGTCTGTCTCCTCTTCTCCCCGATTCTGCTTCTCTGAGACGCCATGATGATGTTGGGTTTTCGTTTTGGTCGCCCTAACTAACCGAGCACAGGAGAACCTCTCCCGGATACCCTACGTTCTCTACCGCAATCCGCCCCCCTCAACTTCCCATTCCATACGCCATGCAGAGCGAACGCTTCGGAGCGAAGGTCATATCGTGCTCGGCGATAGAGAGTCAAACGCCCTTTGGGTGTTCCAAATAGAGTGTTTTAGCAACGGCGCGCCCAGGGGTGACGGGGGGGGAGGCGAGGGCGGAGAAAGCCACGTAGAAGGGGAGGTACAGGCGCAAATAGCTGAGGAGTCAACGGAGGGGAAATGGAAGAGCCTAGAGAAGCGTATTGGAGAAGAGTGGGGATTGACAGGTCAGTGCACCCTCCCCCCCTTCTCTGCGAGAGCTTAAACGAAGGAGAAGGGTTAATTGGGATCATTGGAACAGAATCATCAGCAGGAGTATTTCTCGCGGCATCGCTGGCTAGTTCTACGAAGGGTGGTGGAGATACATTTTCGCCAGTACAACTTGGGCGGAGTACACCTGTTACACCTGCCCTGCCTACCCCCCGGCCAGGGATATTCTCCCCTCCCCCACAAGATGTCGCTACTATTGACTTGACAGATGACCCGCTAGAGGAGCCTAAAGAGGATCGTTTGCTGCCATACAAGCAGTTTCTTGCCGCCGTGTTGTCGTCCATTTCCTTCAATTTGTCGCTACACAGCGGCTATACATCGCTCAACATCCGAACGCTCGTCTCTCCCTCGTCGCTCGTTCCTCGTGTCACTGAATTGAAGGAGGATAAGGAGGATTTGCTCCCTTCTTCCCCTATCACGTTACCTGGCTTACTTCGGCCGTCGGTACTCGCGCTAGAGGCATACCTGACGACATCTGGTACCTTACTTGTGACACCGCATACCCACGTTCAGGCCGCTTTAAGACGTGTTTCATCATCGCTATCATCGCCACTTGATAAAAGAGACGTGTTTATCGCGCCGTGGGGAGAATGGGGCCGATTAGTATCCGAGGAGGGTCTGAAAATTGGCGCGCGGGAGGAAAGGTGGAAAACTTCGGTCAGGGAATACTTGCAGGACTGCGGGATTTTGTCTGCCCCGAACCGGCAATGGGGGGAAAAGTCGGTGCTTGAGGAAGCAATTGACGAAGGCCGGTGGAGAAGGGTCGAGATTTGGGTCCCTATTAAGGATCACCCAAGCGAAGGGATGGGCATGCTTGTCAATATATTATGGCCGGATGCACTGCTGTTCCTGCGCACTTCGGAGAGTGATACCAATGGACTGCGGAGTGAAGGTGAAGGTGAGGACTGTGATGCTTTCTGGGGAAAGGTTTTTGATGCACCTGAGTATGCAAGGTTTGCATCGGGAAGGTTATCGCGTTCACTAGCTGTTGGATTGAAGGGTAAAAGAGAGCTGGGCACCGAGTGGTGGGATATCCCATCAGCCGTGGATTGGGCAGAGGAATGGATGGAGGGGAAGGAAGATCGTGAGAAGGTCGTTATGGCTAGACGGGAAGAGAAGCGACTGCGGCAAGAACAAGAGAGAATAAAGAGGGAGGCCGAGGCAGAAAAGGAGCAGCAGTCAAAGGCTTCTGAGCCAGTACTCGATGTTAAGGAAGAAGCGAATGTTAAAGGCAAACTCAAAGTCTTGGATGAGGCAAAGAAAGATGGTCTCGTTGCTGGTGGGAATGCGGGTGTCTATCCTACTCCACCAGACGGCGGACAGCAACAGCAACAACAGCAGCAACCACCGCAGCAACTGCCGGGCCCCTCAGTAAATCCCGGTAGTGGCGCACCAAATACGACATCCAATGCCACTTCTACCACCGTTGCAACAGATATGGATCTTGACTGGATTGGAGTCATGCCGGATGCCGTTCCCGGCCCCGTTCGGAAGCAGAGCGATGCAACCGGAGGGGTAGCGTTGGCGGGAGGTACTGGGGAAGCGGATCTTTTCGGCGGGGACATGGACGAAGATATGTTCGGAGAGGGAGTCACAGAAGACGACTTTGCATTTTTTGACAATAACCCTGGACAATTAGAGGGATTCGGAGGTGGTGGAAGCGCCGGAGATGTGGACATGGGACTTGATGTCGATTTTGGAGGGGGGGGCACAGTGGACCTAGCGATGGAGTCGCCGGAAGTCGCCATGAAGGAGGATATACTCACTTTAGTGAATACACCCGGCATGCCAATACAACGCATAGATCAATCAGCGGAAGAATCAAGACCCGCAGAGCCGTCCGCATCTGACAAAACAGAGCCACATATCCAGACACCTCCATTGAGTCCACGTGGGGCTTTCCGATTATTAGTTCCTGATTATGCCTCCAACCCAACGAGGAGTTCCCAGCATCTTACACCACCAACAACAGTTTCCGCCATGAAGACCCCGCAGAAGAATGGGGGGTACGCACCACTGAGTGGTGGGGTCAGTGAGGCCAAACGCCGGATGTCACTCTATTCGCCTATCACATTCACTACGAAGGTTGAAATGGCGGATCGGAAGTATGCACCCGGAGGTCGATTCTTTCTACCAGAGAGCACAAAAGAGAAGGAACAGAAGGAGTTGGAGAAGGAGCAGAACATTACAACCATTGGACTGAAGCGAAAAAGAGCTGGCAGTATGTTCATGCGATCTATGGTTGTAGAGGAGGCCCCTGTACCGGAGGTGGCTGAGGTAGTGCTTGGAGATGAGGATGCAGTCATGGATGATAGTGATGGAGCGGTTGGGGAGAGGGAAGATGAGAGCGAATTCTACTCCGGCGATGAGACGAGCAGTGAGAGTGATGCCGACGACGAAACCGACGAGGAGGAGGAAGAACCTGGGGGCGGGGCATACTATACAAGTCCAGTAGCTATGGCCTACGGCGGTAGTATAGCCCGCAGAAAACGGAAGCGAGCATACGAAGACGAGGATCAGGAAATGGAACTAGCGCCACCAATATCGGACTCTACAAAAAGAGATGTAGCTGTCGGAGCAGATGGGGAGGTCGAAGTTCCAGGAGAAATGGCGCCACCGCCTTGGGAGGTGATGATCCCGGACACTACGGAATCGAATCTAGTTGGAATATTCTCGAACATCAGTCTAGAAACAGAGGCTATATCGCTTGCGGGTTTAGGGGATAACGAGTTTGCTGCTGTTAGCAGACTGGTCCGCGATCAGATCGTCTACGGAACTACCAAACCTCTAGGGGACCTGATGGAGGTGAGCGGTGTCGAGACAACTGTTGAGGATGACGATGAGGAATGGTGTGCCATACGGCAACGCCGAGGGAAAGATGAAGGCGTAGTAGAAGATGCCGTGAAGTCGCTGTTTGGGAAGACAGGTGTTGCAAGGTGCACATTAGAGACCTATGTTGCAATAGCGGACGCGGTCATTGAGCCACCACCGCTACTTGGTCGTGCCGCGGCTATGCGACCGATACCTCAACCCCGGCGTGGAGGAATTGCATCGGCGCTGGCTAAGAGACCCGAGGTAGAAGTTAACACAGCAGTTTTCAAACTACCGCCCCCACATGTCCATATCCATAGAGCGGAGTCTGCACTTGAAATATTACCGCCGGCCTTACATTTTTGGGAAACATTTGGATTCGGCCCGTGTTCTGGGGCTAAGAACGTCATCGCTTTCTGTCTACATCCTGATTCTCGATCAATGGAGGAAGCGGCGGATGCCTTTCTAGAGAGAGTTTCAGGAGCCTACGAAAGTGGGCGGTATGGTGTACACGTTCGAGCAAAATTAGATGAAGTGGTAGAGAATGGGGGATACGGCGTTCAGGGACGAGACATAAAAGCAGTCATCGAAGCAATGGAGGATTTCGGAAGTGTGCTTGCGAGCGTTGCGGATGAAGGTTGCAATATCGTTGTATATGTGGTTAACCCCTTCGAACATCCTAGCGCACTTGTGGATATCTGCGTAGGGTTTTCGAAGATGAAGAAAGTTTACGAGAGTCGGTTAGGGGGCATAAAGGGGAATAATCTGGTTCTCCAAGTTGTTCGCGCAAGCTTCCTTGCACGGAAAATGGGGGCCGTCGGCACTGGGCAGGCAGAATGGGCCAGGCTAGCTGCAGAGGTGTACAACCGGTGCGCACCGAGTGATGGTGTATCATCACTAGAAGAGGTATAGTTTTCTCATATCCTTGCCCATCATTGCAGCCCAACTAACATGTGGCGGTAGGCCCAGAAGATGTTTTCCCCGTCAATATATCTCTCCCGCCCGCCACCAAAGTCAATCGAGTTCAAGTTGACGACCGAGCCTTCTCCCGCACTTCTTCTGGAAAACTCAGTTCTTCATATAGCCTACTCGCAATCGCTCGATGAGCGCTGGGTGTCTGTTGCCTGGACGGACAATTGGGGCACGATCCAATCCACCGAACTCTACTCCCTCGGCCGCAAAAACACCACGATCCTCCGCCCGTTCGATGAAGTCTGCCGCGACATCTGGAACAAAACACTAGAAATAACCTCAATCCGAAAAGTCCACTGGCGCCTGATTCTAATAAAAGTTGGCGAGCCACTACCAGACGAAATAAGTACCTGGACAACCCTCGCCTCAACCACTACACACTCCCTCGCAATCCTCTCTGCAGACCTGAATCCACCAATATACCTAATCCCGCCATTACCAGCGCCCATACCAACGGCTTTCAACCACCAGGTTTCCGTTTACACCACCCCGCCCGTCACAACTCCTACACCAGGCTCCATCGTCTCACCCGACCAGTTTGGCAACGCAGCGAACACACCCTCCGCTGATCCGACACCGGACCTAGACCCCGACTCCTACCTCGTCGACGTCTGCGACGAAACTTGGGGAGCCATACTCCCGCACATACGCCGCTTACCGCCTGATTACACCAGTGGCGCGCTAGCGTATCTGATCAAGCGTGGGGGCATAAACGATGGAGACGAACTTCGCGCATTAAAGATAGAGCTGATCGTCGCTGAGAACAGGGGCGGGACGGTACCATTGCTAAGAGAGGTGCTTGGTTGGTATAGAGACCTTGCCTGCCTCGCGCTATGGAAGGGTGTCGTCGGTGATGGAAGGGGCAGTGGAGCTCCGTGGCATCTAGCGGTTGCGTGGAAGGGGGTGGAGGGAGTTGGGTGGGTTATGTAAAGCTGCGCTATTAATGTCTGATTAGGCTTGTGAAAATGGAGGGGATCGGGCGTGGGAAATTGGGCGTTTATTCCTTTTCTTCATTTTTCGCTTTCCATTTCCCCTTTTCGTTTTGTTACCCCACCTCTCTTATTTCCTACATAGTGTATTCCGTCGTTTATTGTCTTGATTGAACCCGGTGTAAATAGGAGGGTAATTTATAAGTTTGGGATTATGATGGACTATAACTCTGGGCATTGATAGAGCGAGGTTTCACATGGAGATGGCCCAAGGGGAACTGCATAAACCTAGAGCGGGAGCACAGTATAGCGCCCTCGAACTCTGAGGCTCGGGGGTGACTGTTAAGGTCTGATCTCTCATGTTGCACCCGAAATGGGTGCGCGACAACAATCACGACTCACCAGCCATTCCACCCCTCCAGCCCCACTACTTGCTGCCCCGACAACCACCCTATTTTCCTTTTCCTCGCTCTTTTTTTTGTTTATCCACTACGTTGCTTTATCTGAGATCATATATTATTGCTGAATTAAAATTTTATTATATCTTTCTACCAAGAAGTTGCGCTACTTTCCACTTGCTGATGGTTGGTAATCTAGAACGATTGCCTAACAGGAGTGGAGTACCTCCAGTCACCATTCGAAAGGGAAATGATGGAGATATTATGGAATGATGGAGGGCTAAGGTTGGGCTACTGCGCCGTAGCGCTTGTACGAGTACTGTCGTGGCAGGAGGGCAGAAGAAGAAGGGGATTGCGCATTAAATATGACAGTATCTTAGCACCTCTGCGCCCTGGATCTAAGTCCATTTTATCATAGTAGCCGTTTTCTCAAGCTAGCACTATGGGCTATGTATGATACCTGTATCTAACTTACGTTCCCATCGTGTATCCGGAACCGGGTAACCATCAAGGGTCTTTCGAAGCAAGTAGAGGTGGGCTAAGATAGATTCACATCATGAATTGTAATATTCTCATGTTGCCGGATCAAAGTCGCCTTTCTTTCTTTCTTGGTGGGTCGCTAGGGGAAAATACCGTACCGTAAATTAGGAACGACTTCAATCTAGCTACCTAAGTGACCAAGCAATTTCGTATTGAACCCCGACATAAATAGCTATTTTCATACCTTTATTAGGGTGATAAAATACATGGACACTAGCGTCCTTACTACTATCCTATCCCATAGCGACCAAGGAGGAACGCTCCCCCACACAAGACTACGGAGGCATGGGCATAGGGTAGCGGACGTGTCCTAACTTGGCGTGGTTGGTGGGGTAAAAGCCGGACCCTGAATCCCCCCGGGTGGGTGGTTGTCCCTTGGAGATAGTCAGGATGACGATTCCTCAGAGTGCTGATCTGGCGGATGCAAATCTATACAATGGCCTTTTCTCTACCTGTGATCCATGCCCGAGAACCATACGTACCCATTACAGTGATCTGCCACTAGCAGAGTAGAGAGCTTAGTTTCGAGGTCCCCACCCGGACTTCTGCAGCGCTATGCAGCCTGCCCTTCAGGGTGTGTGGCTTCCTCAGCGCACTCGCTTTCGCCGTGCTAGAGGAGTGCTCGAGTATATCACGAGGGGGTTAGCCACCGAGATTTCCTGGACCATCCAGTGTATCTTTCCCATACCGGCAGCATCACTGGCTGTCACCTGCACTATAGATACTGGATTAACACGGCAAGGGTTCCGGGGTGAAGGTTGCCGAGGACCCGGGGAAAAGAATTCTCCGCTGATGGGGTGCCTCTTGTGTCAAAAACAGTCACAGGTTTTTTTGTTGTCGGTGTGGGATTTATCCTTCTTGGCAGCAGGTGGCTGGAGGGCTTTTATTGGGTCATAAGAGGAGTACCTATCCCCTCTTTTCCTCCGCATCCGAGAACCTCTCGACCTTCCGACACCACCCCTTAGCAACGCTCGCTGATGGGCACGGCGCCATCGAGATACATCTCGATGGCGCTGGTGATCCTCACTTTACCGTACCAGAGAATTCCAAAAAGCCTCTCACGATAACGCGTCGATGATTCCGCGATGGCTGCCACTCTTGGAGCCTGGAACGGACACCAAGATAGAAGGCTTTTTACCGCTGTGGTATGGAGGAGATTGACTACTACAACTTTTTACAACAAAGTTAGGGAACCGGCGACGGGTTGGAAAGACCTATATCAGGTATGAAGAAAATGACTTGGAAATAAACCATATTGCCAGTTAACAACCCTTCAGTTCTCTGGTGATAGACACCCTGGTGATCGATCACCGGTTCCGGCGTTGGTTGTCTATACTGTGACTTCAGGTATGATGTCCGGCTACTTCCTAGTGATGCATTACTGATTCGGGCTGTACCGAATAGTACAGAATGTGGCGGTTGCCTAATTAACACGGGGTGCTCTGTTGTCGTTTCGGAAAAGATCTCTGATATGTGAGTAGCAACTAAATTTGCTCGAGAATCCGGGCTTCGCTGACACTGATACCAGATTTCTGCCTTGCGCGTCGGAGCCATCTAAGGAGAGACAACGATCCATCAGAGAAGAGAAAAGCTCAACATGGTGGCTGGTTGTTTTATCCTGGGTCTGCCTACAGTGCAACTCTAGAGAGAATAAAGTGGGCATGGCAGCTCTGATGTGGATTTCTCACATCGGGCGGCGGTCGCGGGCCAATGAGCTATGTCATGCGCTGGCATGCCCCGGCGGTAGAAATAGGGTCGACAGATCTTGACCCCCATGATGATCCTTCGATACAGACACTCTTGAAATCCTGCTTTGGGCTTGTCACTGTTGATTCTTATCAACAGTCCGCCTCACACATTTCACTCTGCAAGAATATCCCTCCTACGACCAATCCCTGGGGAGCTTGCCTGAAAAGTCTCAACCTTTAAAAACTGTTCACAAAATTCCGTTTCCGCTCTTCCCCGACGATTACATCTCGAATATGCTTCCTGTTATCCGACAGGGGTCAAACTGCTGTTTGACCGGGAAGATGTCAATCCAGGGTCCGCGCGCGGTGGCTGTGTTATCACACCACTCTCCTGGGCTATCGGGCTCGTGGGTTGCTGAGTTGTTGCTTGACCGGGAATTTTATTCCCGGTTCAGTGGATGCTTTTTGTTTTCAGACACCACTCTTTAATATCGCTTGAAGCGGTCTTTAGGGAGCTGTCAAATTAGAAACCTCTATGTAAGCCTAAACAGGCTTACTCAGAGGTAGGTAGAAGGAACACTACTTGATTGGGTTCCTAAGAAGCCGGTTCGAAATGCGGTATTAATACCTGCTGCGGCCATCGCAACTCGAAAGACTCAACAGACGCACGCACCGAATCCTGTCTCGACTTCCGAGTTCGAACAATTCTCACGATGCTCCGACGGGTTGGCGAAGGTCAGCGGTTTCCGTGGAAATCCTTTCTCCCTCGCTTTTATGCTTCTCAACATGCTGTTCATTCGTTTGTTCTTTGATGCTGTCTTTTGATGCTGTCTTGGTATCTATACCTCATACTTTGCATGTATCATGGAACCTGTTAGAATTTTGAAAATGTATTTATATGTTTCCAAAATCCAATCGAGAGCTGCAGGTGCAAAAGTCGGTGAATTGGTTAGGTAGCCTCCAATGTGATAGCGCTCTAAGTAAGGTTTAACAAGTATCCCAACTGCAATGATACACAGAAGTCATGCCCCTACTATGTTCCTTTCACAGATGAAAAAAAAAAAAAACCCCTGGCCATCCAGATTTCTGTAAGGCCAAATATACTCGCCCCCGCTAACCCCAGGTACAGTACTACATCCACGTTCAGTTATTTCTGTCACCTAACAATCCGTCGGTGATCCTCACCACTATAAGAAATCCAAGCAAACGATTGGGTCAAGTCGCCGATAGCCGAAGGAACGACACACCGACACGCTCCCATCCAAACCCTAACTAACGAACCTCAAGAACGAAAGTGCCAGCCCATGTGAAGAAAGAACTAACGGCAGAGCAACAAGCCACATTCCGAACCTCTATCATAGGAAGACAACCCTAACCCGATCAAG